TTGTATATTTTCCCCCAAAAACATGGAACAAATGTAAATTTATCACATGATGTTGTGTCCATGAAAGATCTGTAATGAATATTTTATAAAATCAATGCTTACAGAAGTTTTTTTGCCGGTCTCCCAGAAATTTTCTCCAATGTAATAAATTAATGTAAAGTGGCAAGGAAGTGTTTTCTCTTTATCTGAAATTTTGGGAAGACAATGACAGTTGAAATCATCTGATGAAAAATAAAAGTTGGCTTTTCTCCTCATAATTCTTCAGACAAATTTTCACCTGCTAAAATTAATAATTTTAATTTTCCATTCAGAGTTTCAGACAAACATCTTTTCAAGCCCAGCTCTCTAATTTTTCAAAGACATTCCACAACTATGGTTGCTTCATTGGTTTCCAAGTTAATTTTTGCAAAATGCAGAAACTTTTTAAATACCTGCCAAAAAGTCTTTCAAACAAAGCTTTTTTGAGTCATCTGCAAAAAAATTGAATGTTTGCCAGTCCATGGAAAGTTTTATGGAAATTTGCTGGTCCATGGGTAAGAAAAAGTTGGGTATAAAACTGCTCCATACATGGTATGATACTATTCAAGCCCAGCTCTCTAATTTTTCAAAGATATTCCACAACTATAGTTGCTTCATTGGTTTTCAAGTTAATTTTTGCAAAAAGCAGAAACTTTTTGAATACCTGCCATAAAGTCTTTCAAACAACATTTTCTTGAGGCATCTGCAAAAAAAGTTTTGAATTTGTGCCAATCCATGGAAAATTTTATGGAAATTTGCTGGTCCATGGGTGCAAAAAAGTTGGGTATAACACTGATAATATTTTCTTTGTGGTTACATATGATGTCTTTTAACTTTCCTTACAACATATCCTCTTCTTCATGCTGCATGTCCTGGTGTATCATGTTCTCTTCTCCGTGTTGTACATGTTTCTTTCGTCACAGAAAAAAATATATAGATGGAAACAGTGCTACTGACCTGGTAACATGAGAGTTCTCTGTTGAATTATGCCTGGCTTGCTGCTCGGAAACAGGTGGCATGTGTCCGTTCGGGGGTCGGGCACGTATAAAAGGACATTTCCTCAGTCTCCCCTTTTTCTTTCCCCCTCTCCCTTTTCTTGATGGAAAAATAAATAAATAAATTAAAAAAATAAAACACGTCACGGGGTTATTTCACCGCCACAGAAGGAGAAACGCATGAAAACGCTGCCCGGGGGCCAGGGAAACAGCGACAGGTGTCCGGATGCGGGTAACAAGCGAGCATGCAGCTCCTTTTTTATTTTATTTTATTTATCTATTTATTATTATTATTCCAGTAAATTTTTTTCTTTCTTTTTGGCAGTTGGTTGGTCTCCTATTGCACAATTTCCGACTGTTATCGGGTCCTTCTGTGGGCAAGATACAGTATAATCATTATTTTTTCCTTTCCCCCCTCCACCCCCCCTTCCTGAAGGTTTCCTGTTGCAATTATTATTGAAGCTTTCCTGGTGAAAAATGTCGGCTTTTGTGTTGAGTGATTAGAGCGTGAATTTTGCTCCGTGAGCATCACCCTTGGTGTGAAACGCAATCCAAGGGTTTTGGAAAATTAGATTGAGATGACACATTTTGTTGGGATTCTACAATACAGGGAAAATATCATTACAACGAACTCATGTATATATACAGTGTATATAGGGACATGAGAAAAACGTATTATGATGAAAAATTCGTTATAATGAGACTCATCATCATTGTTTTTTAACACAGTATATACAGAGCAAAATTTTGTGGGAATATTAGTGGATATTACTGGTATTCACTGGAGTACCATGCGCACCTTTTTCCCAAATTTCAGAAGAAGAAAAGGGGTGCGCGTCATAAGTGGGTACAACATTTTCAGGAAGTTTTAGGAAGTTATGTTTGCATTATACTTAATTATAATGGAGAAATTTGGAACAAATATAACAAGAAAACATTTTTGTATTGAAAAAATTGAAAATTCATCAGATCTTTGTTCAATTCATGCCTAAAGTCAAATTTTTTGTTTTTATTTTTGAAATTTTATGGTTTTAGATTCACTAAAAATTGGGGTGCGCGTCTTACTTATTGGGGATACGATTTTTGCAAAATTTTCAACTGAAAAACTCCTATGCGCGCCTTACTTGAGGGCGCGTGGTACTCAAGTAAATACGGTATATACTGCAAAATACTATACTTCTAAAGCAGATACTGTAATTTAAGACGTGTCATAATTTCCAACGCTGTTTGATGAAATCAAGTTTAACAAATTTTTGGAAATACAGGGAGACCCCAAGATGCGGATGTAATAGGTGCATCAAGAATGTCCTGATGTTGGAATGTCCCTAAGTCAAGTTTAATTTTCCCTTAGTCTTCAATGCTAATGTATTTAATGGGTTCTCATTTTTGTCAAAAATTAGAAATGAAGTTCTCAAAATTGTTAATAAAAATTGTTTCCCTCAACTTCAAGTTGTAGAAAACAACAGTGCAGAACAAAACCACATATAATTTAATCTTTTGGTATCAAAAGGATATGAAAAAGCAAAAAAATCAAGTCTTGCTAGAATATGCACAAAGGATAGAAAAAAGTAAAAAAAAACTCTGAAAAAATAATCACAAATTCAGCTTGTTTTTGATTATGAATTAGATTGAATCAATCATGCTATATTTTTTCAATTTTTGGGAATATGAATACCTTGATTAGTTCAAAGGATAGAAAAATGAAGTATACCTAATAACACCAGCCAATGTCCAGATGTTGGGCCTGATTGTTTTGGTTTTCCAGTGTACCTAAGTCAAATTGTCTGTATGTTGGAGTGTCCACATATCAGGGTATCACTCTGTAGTAGTACTCTACACTGTTTATTGTAATGTGATTATTTGTGACCAAACATCCAAATTTTTGCTCAGTCTGGTTGAAAAGGTGCATTGATGTACAGTTATCATTACATTTCTTTTGCTTCTGATTTTTTCTTTCAGGTGGGTAAAAATCCTAACATATGCGAGTCAATTCCATGAAAGTATATTTAAAAAATCGAAGTCCGGGTCTGGCAACCCTCCTTTAATGGAAAACATGTTATGATCTTGGCGATTTCTGTGTCAGGGTTGCTGAATTTTGACCTTATTGTACTGGAACTGACGTTGTACAAGCCAGAAAAAGTAATCAATGATGTTGATGAAAAGCTGGTTATTGATTCCTGAGAGATTCCAGGAATCCTGACTCAGGAACATGCGTACTTCAGTCAAAGAAGTTCATTTTGATGTACTGTAATGTACTGTACAGTACTGAAAAAACTTTGGGTTATTCCTTTACCGATGAAGCAGTCATATAAATGGAATTTTCACCTGCTGTCATATTTTCGTGTTTTTTGATTTTTTAAATCTTTCTCCAAGAGTTAGCAGAAACATTTTTATTTATTTTATGAATATCCGATGCATTTCAGTCGCAACGATTCGTTCAGGGCATTTTACTTATGGAAAGGACGACGAGCTCGTTTTTTTTAAAAGATGGGTTCTGTTTGTGTTGTGTCGATATTTTTTTTTATATTCCACACGAAAAAGTATCTCAAGATTCCATGAACAGATTATGGATTCTTTTTGCGATTTGAAAGAGGAAATTTTGGGGAATCTGATGCATTGCGTGGGCTGATGCATAAATGAATTTTTGAGCAATTTTCGGCGCGCGGTGCATTTTTTTTAAGAAAGAATTTTCGGTTTGAATTTGAATGATTTTGGGATCCTGTTGTTGAGGACCAAATTTGACTTTTCTAAAGCTGTATTTGCTTGTGTACTATGCACACTTTTTCTGGAAATCTATGCCAAAAATAGGGTGTGCTTCTTACTTGAGTACACATTTTTTGACATTATAATGCCCATAATGTTTGAATATTAATCCTAAAAAAAAAACTCTGCCGAAATAAATATTTCTGAGTTCAACAGTAGAAAATAATTGCAATCAATCTGGCTTTGTTCCATGTTTTAAATTTTTATTTAATCAAACAATGAATTAGTACAAGCAGTATCTAAACTGTACAGGTGGTACCTTATTGCAATTCAACCATGTTGCAACTTGATGGTATAATTTGCAGGGACAAAAACTTACAATTTTACCTCTGCCCTTGAATTAGACCTGCTTTGGCCACTTTTTTGCACTTTTGCGCTGATATTTCTCAATTTTACAAAGTGGTTTGCTGTTTGACTGCTTTGAAATTTGACTCAAGTCTGGCAATGAATTAGGGTTGAATTGCAAGCTTCCTCCACCAGCATTGTGGATTATAGTATTTAATGTATTTATCACAACAAACTGGAGTGTGTACCTTGTGTATTTATAGATTTTTGCTCAAATGTTCCTTTACAAAATCAATGAGTGCATCTTATCACTTGAGGGTGCATTGCACTTGAGTGAATACATGAAAATATGCACAGTACTTCTAATGAATCTCATTAATCTAGAACATGCAACAACTGTAACTGATTCCTGGGAAAATGTTGCAATGCATAGTTTGATAAGCCTTGGCTCACCATGTTGTTCTCTTCCCAATTGCTAGACTTTGTATAAGTACTGAACACATTTCCCACGATTTGCTTGCACTTATTTGGGCCAATAAATATTTTTTTTACATGTTAAGTGACCTTGATCCAAAAAGCATGTTGAAGTTTCCAAGAGGCCAATGTCTGTGTAAGTTCTGTAATGTGGGAAAAATTCAATCAGTTTTTTTCTTATGACAGAACATTGAGACATATTGTAGTGAATTTGAAATCTGTGGGGATGAATCAGTTTCATGCTGTGATGAGTGTTGAATTGAAAGCCCAACATTCTGAGAAATCTTGATTGAAAGATTCACCAATTCAAGTACAGTGGCCCCCCGCCTAACAGACCTCCCATGTAAGGGATTTTTTCCAAACAGACCAGCTCTGCAAGCAGTTTTTCCTCCCGCCCAACAGACAAAATCCGCCAAACAGACTTCTTTTGGTTTAAAANTTTTTTTTTTTTTTTTTTTTTTTTAGCTGAGAAGTGTGTTGGCAAGGATGTTTAGTAGTTAGCCTGATTGCGCTGTACCACTACAAAATGTATGCTATTATACCATATTTACCCAAGTACCTTGTGCACCCATACCTTTTTTTGAAAAATTATTGCAGAAAAGGGGGTGCACATAATAAGCAGGTATGTATTGTTTGCAATAAAAAAATTAAGGAGTCATTTGTGGCAGTTGTAAGGGAGTCTTTGCAATGTTAAATGATAAACAGACATTTATGAATGGTACTTATTCTGTTGCAATGCTTCAAGTTATCATGAGTATTCTCACAACTATTAAGTTAACCACCATAATATGAAGAATAGAAAAAAAACAATATTTAAAGCTGCAACAACTTGGATGCACATCATAGATGGATATTTTTTTGCGCTAATTCTATACAGAACGTATCTCACTCAAGGGTACACAATACTCAAGTAAATCTAGTTCAGTATTATTATATGAAAAATTCAAATTCCAACAAATTCAAATCAAAGCATTTTAAATTATATGTGGCTTGATACATGAACATATGAATGAAGATTCACTGCAGATGACTGTGTTCAATGGAATACTGTACTGTGTACTATACTGTTACTACAGTACCAGTGACATCTATGCACATTGAATCCTCTATTTATTTCAGAATTAAGAATTGGGAATTCTCAAATGGCTTGCAAGCATCTCACAACACTGTTACACATTATAGAGTTAGATTCCCTTTGATATTAATTATTTAAATCACAATGAGCCCAATGCTGATAATTTTAAATTGATGAATGTTCTTTGCATTAAAAAATTAAAAGGGCTCTTTACATCATTTAATTATTTCTAAATCATTAGGAACAAATTCAGTGGGTTATTTAGAAAACATTTATGGACTGTATTTCACAAGTTTATCCTATTTTTTTGGTGCCTAGAATATCTTACACTAAGAAACAAGATAATTTTTAGAGACCTGAAAAACAAATCTTCATTTCAGATTAAAAACACACGAAAGGAATTTTGGAATTTGTCTACATTCCTCGCTTTTACCAATTTTTGATGCTGCCGGAAGAATTCCTTACTTTATGATCACAACTACTGTACATTGTATTTTAACGGAAAGTTGGAAACTTCAATATTTTCTTGATTGCTTGATCGTTATTGGAAAGAAACTATAAACATTTTCCCGGGAGCAAAAAACAAAATAAAAAAGGGAAGATCTCTTTTAATTGGACCCTCAATTCATGCTCCGACAAGACAATTAAATTTTTATGTTGTCAATCCGAGTTATAATTTCCTGGGCTTCACCGAAAAGAAAATATTTTGTCTCATCATCAATTACGAAATTCTGTTTCTCGATAACGAATTGCTCAGTTTTTCCCTTTGCGTCAGTAAAATATTTATCTAATCGCATTTTTTTCCGGGTAATTCATGTTGGCAGAAATCCCGCAATAAAAACCCCGACGAAAAGGAACCGAAATTGCAAAACAATCTTAGAATTGAAATAATGGACCCGAGAACCAATACATGATATAGGTGATTCACGATGACTTGAGATTTTTGAAAAGCCCATAAAATGGAGATTTTAGAAATCGTGGCCTTTCCTTATTCCACTCATTGTTAATTTCAATTTTCGACTTTCACAATATGGAGATGATTTCATTTCCACGTCCGTCGGCGGTTTTCGTGTTGTTGAAAACAAACATATTTTATTCGCTCAAACAGTTTTCTTCAGGAATACAAAAAATGCTAGTTTATGAAAATTGAATGCGTATTTTTTTTCTGTTGAAAATGACGATAATTTATTCTCTCAGCAACGCAATGGATTTTTTTTAATTCCGAAAAACAAATTACTTCGCTAATCTTCGTTTCACCGATACTGACGCAACAAACAATAATTGCTATATTCTCAATGTGTTTT